GCATCCTAGCACGCTATGTCGCTCCTGGCCGTCACCGGAAGGAGCACATGGATGCTGCTAAGAGGGTGTTGCGCTACTTGTGCAGTACGTCGGGCATGGGGCTTGTGCTTGGAGGGCGAGACCGGGTTGTTCTCACAGGGCACTCAGACGCTTCTTGGGCAGACGACCAGGCTACTCAGCGGTCGTCCCAGGGTTACACCTTCAGCCTTGGCTCTGGCTCAGTTTCTTGGCGTTCTACTCGCTCTTCTTCTGTTCTCAGCTCCAGTTGTGAGGCTGAGATCTACGCCACAGCCATGGCTGCTCAGGAGCTACGCTGGCTGACCTACCTGCTGACCGACCTCGGAGAGCGGCCTCGTTCTCCTCCAGTGCTGTACGTTGACAACAAGGCTGCCATTGCCTTGTGTGAGGAGCACAGACTGGAGCACAGAACGAAGCACATCGCTCTGCGGTACTTCCTTGCTCGAGAGCTGCAGCAGCGTGGTCAGCTTTGTCTGCGTTACGTGGCCACGGAGGCCAACACTGCTGATGTGTTCACCAAGGCGCTTCAGCCTTGTGACCATCAGCGCTTTTGCACTCTACTAGGCCTTGTACCTACTGGGCCTCACTTGCTTACCTCTTGACCTTGCTTGTACTGTGATCACTATATATATATGCCTACTTGTTTACTTTTGCTAGGTTGTGATCACTGTATCTCTTGCTTTGTTATAAACCTGCATGTGAACTGGTCTTGAGACCACTTGCTTGTGCTCGGAATTTGTGTGGAATCCTTGAGATCCACCCTGAGCTTGCTTTACTTTGCTTTGACTGGTCTTGTGACCCTGTGGTTGTCTCCCACTGCGCCTATGGGGGTGTGTCAAACATTGCATGTTTATATTGTCTAGGCTGTAGTGGGTTACACCTTAGGGGGTACACAAAGTTAGGGTTTACTACTTGTACCAAACTCTGTTCTAGTTCATTCATTCCTGCTCAGTTATTTCTGACGCTGGAGGCGCTGGAGCTGGAGGTATTGGAGCTGGATTCACTGGAGCTGGAGGCACTGGCGCTGGAGGCACTGGAGCTGGAGGTGCTGGAGCTGGAGGTACTGTGAAGTAGCGACCATTTTTCTTCCCGCCACCGCAGCTATCTGAGCCTTCGCCTGAGTCAGTGCTCCGTCAGGTTCTTAGTCTTCCTTCGTCTACTGCCCTTCGTCCAGACGTACCGCTGCCTGCCCCCCTTCTCTACACAGAGCAACCGGTCTCTCTTACGGAGCATCGTGAGCCTGCGTCTCGTCCTGCCTCCCCTGTTCGCACTGTTCGCCGTGCTCGTCGTGTTCCTCGTCCGCGTCCTCCCCCTGTGCCACGAACTCACACTATGGCACTTCGTCCTTCCTCTGTTCCACAGCGTGTCCCCCTGCCGTCTCCTCCTGCGTCCTCTCTGCCTGTCGTTCCGGACCCTGAGTCTGACGCTGTTCGTGCTGCTCACCCTACTTTCATGCATCTCCTCGCTACAGTCGTCACTGACCCGTCGTTTGAGTCTACTGCTGCGTTTGCCTTAGTTGCTGAGCTTGTGGACTTTGCTGCTGCTTGTCGTCTAGACTACGCTGCTAGTCTTGTTGCTGAGTCCGAGTCTGTCTGTCCTCCGTCCGTCGGGGGTGAGTGTGCTCTTGGCACGGACGTCCTTGAGGACAGGCAGGAGGACTTTGAGTGTCTTGTGGCTGTTGTACCTTATCTCGCGGCATGGCTGCTTGCACCTGAGGGAGAGCCAGATGCACTGGACATCCCTACCCCGCGCTCTTACGCAGAGGCGATTTCGGGTCCCTACTCCTCTCAGTGGCAGACGGCCATGGACGCAGAGATGGCATCCTGGAAGTCCACAGGCACTTACGTCGACGCAGTTCCCCCTCCTGGGGCGAACATAGTCGATGGCATGTGGATTTTCCTGTCTTCAAGGCTCGTTACGTTGCTCGAGGCTTCAGACGCGACAGGGAGTTGACTTCTTCTAGACCTTCTCCCCTACTCCGAAGATGACCACTCTTCGGGTGCTGCTGCACGTTGCCGCTCAGCGTGACTACGAGCTTCACTCTCTTGACTTCAGCACAGCTTTCTTACAGGGCAGCCTGCACGAGGAGATCTGGCTGCGCCGCCCACCTGGCTTCACTGGGTCGTTTCTTGCAGGTACCCAGTGGAGCCTCCGGCGGCCAGTCTATGGTCTCCGCCAGGCGCCTCGTGAGTGGCACGACACACTGAGGACGACGCTTGCGGCTCTCGGGTTTTTCTCCTTCGACTGCTGACCCGTCGCTGCGCACCGACACTTCCCTGCCGCCGTTCTACATCCTCGTGTACGTCCATGACTTGGTCTTTGCCACTGCTCGCACTGAGGCACTGGCCCTAGTGAAGTCGGAGCTGCAGAAGAGACACACGTGCATAGACCTGGGTGAGCTGCTCTTAAGCTATCTTGGCTTGCGGATCACCCGGGACAGAGCACGCCGTACCATTACCCTGACTTAGTCACACATGGTGCAGCAGGTCCTTCAGCACTTCGGCTTCCAGTTCTCCTCACCACAGTCCACTCCTCTGCCTACCAGTCACTCGCTCTCAGCTCCACCTTCGGACGAGTCCGTAGAGCCGAGTGGCCTGTATCCAGAGCTTGTGGGCTGCCTCATGTACCTGATGACCTGCACACGACTTGACCTTGCGTACCCTCTTAGCATCCTGGCTTGCTACGTTGCGCCTGGGAGACACCGACGAGAGCACTGGGAGGCTGCTAAGAGGGTGTTGCGCTACTTGTGCAGTACATCGGGCATGGGGCTGGTGCTTGGAGGACAGGGTCGAGTTGTCCTCACTGGACACTCAGACGCCTCTTGGGTTGACGACCTGGCTACGCAGCGGTCGTCACAGGGTTACACCTTCAGCCTTGGTCCGGCTGTGTTTCTTGGCCAGGATCGAATTTCCACTCGAGAATGTTGCACTATAGGTGAGTACAAGGCGTATTTATACTCAGAAATACATAGAAACAAGCGATAATCCGAACCTTCGGGAACGCGCTCTTCTAGGATAGATAATCACTAGTGCGCATAAGCACGCAAGCCCATTGGCACATTGGATTATGGCGAGATTACGCCTTGTACACCACTGTCGGTGCTGTCGGTGCCGTATAATGTAATTGTCGGTGCCGAAAATACAAATAAGTGAAATAATCGGAAAGCTCTAGAAAATAGAATAGTAGTCCGATTGAGGTGAAATAAAGTGCAAATGAAAGAGGAAAATAAGAAGAATAAGATAGAGTAAAAATATGGAAATGAGAAATATGTCGAACGTCGACGTACTCTTACACTTCCCCCCCTCAAAGCTGGGTGGTAGACGTAACACCCTGCTTGACAAGATAGTCGCGAAGAGAACGTCGGGCGTTACTCATGTCTTCTTCAGAGACCCAGCTATCCTCAGAAGGATCATAGCCCTTCCAGCGTATGAGAAACTCCAGGGCGCCATGCCGACGACGACGATGTGCAAGCACGGATTCGACCTCGTACTCAAGTTCATCATTCACGAGGACTGGAGGCGGCGGCGGAGGTTGGCGTCCCGTGTACAGCTTATTTGGATCCCGATAGGGTTTAAGAAGCTGCACGTGGAAGGCGTTATGAATCTTCCAACTAGCTGGTAGGCGCAAGCGGAATGTGACTGGAGTGACCTGCTCTTCTACGAGGAAAGGTCCGCAGAAGCGAGGTCGTAACTTGGATGGAAGGTGACCGAGGTTGAGGTTGCATGTGTCGAGAAGCACATGGTCACCAACCGCAATGGTATGATCACGTCGATGGCGATCGGCCAAGCGTTTCTGTGAAGACTGTATGTCCTGTAGACGCTTGTGTGTCCGATCCCAAAGCTGCTGCATTGTGGTAACGAAGTCGTGCGCGGGTTGGACAGTTGCAGGTACTGTCGGCTGTTGAGGAGTTAGCGGATGTCGACCGTAACAGAGGAAGAATGGGGTCTCTCCTGTTGCGGCATGCTTTGCATTATTGTAGGCGAACTCCAACACCGGCAAGTGCAAGTCCCACTTGTTAATGTCGTCCTTGCACGCTGCGCGCAAGAGTTGGTTCAAGCGCTCTGTCTGCCCATCGGTCTGGGGATGATATGCGGATGACATCGCTAGGCGTGTCCCCATGAGCGACATGAGCTCTTTCCAGAACTTGCTAGTAAACTTGGGGTCCCTGTTGGATATGAGGGTTGTTGGGATCCCGTGCTGTGAAATTATGTGTTTGAGGAATAGCTGTGCCGTTTCCTCCGTGCGTGCGGTTGTATGTGTCGGAATGAAGTGTCCCATCTTTGAGAATTTGTCGATGACGACCAGGATGGCGTCATGCCCCGCTATGGTAGGTGGTAATCCAGTGATGAAGTCCAAGCTGACCACTTGCCAAGGCTGTTCCGGGACGGGCAGAGGCTGAAGAAGTCCTGCTTTCTTCTGCTTACTACTCTTCATCCGTTGGCACGTGTCGCACGAGGTGACGAACTTCTGCACGTCGTTTGCCATGTGAGGCCAGTAATAGACTTTCGCAATCCCCGCAAGGGTCTTGTTACTCCCGAAGTGTCCAGCGTAGAGCACATCGTGGAACTCCTCGAGAAGCAACTGCCGAAGAGGTGGGTAATTGGGTACCCATATCTTTGTTGATCCTTTGCGTAGTGCGATGTCGTGGTCCCACTGCAGCAATTTCTTCTTCTCTGCCAAGGGAATCTCGGGGTTGATAGTGTACCCGTGCGTAAAGAGTCCCTTAAGTAGCGGATTCATCCCCTCAACCTGTATGGCGGCAACGTGTCCAGGCCGGCTCAGTGCGTCTGCCTTATTCTTGTGTCCCGGCTTGTACACGATGTCGTAGTCGAAGTGTGTCTCGAGGAAGTCGATCCACCTGACCTGTCGCCTGGAGAGGGTCGGCTGCGTTTTTAGGTACTTCAGGCTGCAATGGTCAGTGTAGACCGTGGTCTTTCTTCCTTCGAGGTAGCATCGCCATGTCTTGAATGCGGTGATGATCGCTAAGGCCTCTTTGTCGTGAATCGGGTAGTTGAGTTCTGCCCCGTGCAATTTTTTGCTGAGGTAAGCGATTGATTGCAGTCCTTTCCCTTGGTCTTGCATCAAGACTGCTCCAACTGCTTGGTCGCTAGCGTCAGCTTCGATGACGTAGTCTTTTTCTGGATCTGGCAGGATCAGGACAGGTGCGGACGTGAGTGCGGTCTTCAACTGCTCCATGGCTTGCTGGTGCACATCATCCCACTTGAACGGTGTATTCTTCTTCAATAGATTGGTGAGAGGTGTTGCAATCTTCGCATACTGTGGCACGAACCGATTGTAGTAGTTCGCGAAGCCAAGGAATTGTTGAAGTTCTTTCACATTCTCCGGCGACTTCCACGTACGTACGGCTTCGATCTTCTTCGGGTCGACATGCACTCCTTGAGCGCTCACCATATGTCCAAGAAATTGAACTTGTTTCAAGGCAAACTCACTCTTTGATAGCTTGACGTAGAACTTCTCTCGTCGAAGTATTTCGAAAATGCGTCGTAGGTGTTCAATATGCTGCTTCATGTCCCTCGAGTAGATCAAGATGTCGTCCAGGTACACCACCACGCATTCGTCAAGTAGAGGCCTAAGAATATGGTTCATTTCAGCCTGAAATGTAGCGGGTGTGTTAGTGAGACCGAACGGCATGACGAGGTACTCGTAGGATCCGTATCGTGTCCGAAACGCCGTCTTATGGATGGAGTTATCCGCCATCCGGATCTGCCAATATCCCGATCTCAAATCGAGTTTTGAGAATACCGTGGCTCCACGAAGCTGGTCAAGTAGATCGTCGATCCGTGGAATCGGATACTTGTTCTTGATCGTCTGCTTGTTGAGAGCTCGGTAGTCGATGCACATGCGTAAGCTTCCGTCAGGTTTTGGCGTGAAGAGCACTGGTGCACCGTATGGTGATGTTGATGGTCGAATGAGTCCCTTGTCCAGGAGGTACTCGATCTGCTTCTTCATGTCAGCCAATTCGGTAGGACTGAGTCGATATGGTGCTCGGAAGGTCGGTTTCGAACCAGGTTCTTCGACGATCTCGTGCTGGTGGGTTCGGTATGGCGGCAACTGGTCTGGAAGGTCGTCAGGAAGAACGTCTTTGAACTCCTCCAGAAGTTTATCGATAGCACGTGGAAGCTCAGGTGCTTTCTTCTCTGCTTCATCCTCGTCTGTAACCAATGCGACGAACCCCGCCATGGTTCTTTTCTCGTCCATCTCAAAGCGTGCGAGAGTCTCCTCCGGAATATCTCCCGTGTTGCTCCAACTCGGAAGTGGAACTCTTCTGTCTTGATTGTAGATGCTCGCCGTGCGGGTGACCCAGTTGATCTCCGAGTTGAACTTCTTGAGAAAGTCTCTCCCAAGAATCAAGTCTAGCCCTTTGATGTTGGTGACGGGTAGGGTCGGTTTCCAGCGAAGAGGACCCATCTGTAGGTGTAACGCTACTTCGCCGTAGACTTGTAATTTGCTTCCGTCAACCATCGTAGCTGTAAAGCTTGAAGGCGTGCACTCCTCATTAATGCGTTCGAGGGTTGCTTTGTCACATACTGAATGGGATGCTCCGCTGTCCACGAGTGCTTGGAGGCGTCGTCCATTGCAGATCACCTCGAGCAGAAGTGGTTGGCGTTGCTCGCTGTACCCGTTGATCGTCTCGTTGATTGGATCGTAGGGCACATCCCATAGCTCCGTGGTATCTTCTTGGGTGGTAGGTTGCCGGTCCTGCATTTCCATATTGCCAGGATTTTTTGTTGTCGTCGACGACGTGGTTCTCGAGCTCGTAGTAGAATTCCCTCGTAGGGTAGATGTTGCAAATGTTTCAGATGCATCTGTAGAGGAGGTTTGATGTCGTCGCAACTTCTTGTTGACCTCTAGCTCCCTCTTGAGCTGCTTCAGCGCCACCGACTTCTTCCGTGGGGACCGGTTGGTCGACGTGGGCTGGTTGTTCTGAGAGAGGACGATGTCGTCGTTGGAAGGTCGAGCCTCCACGCTCCGTTGTTGGTTCCCCATGCGCAGCTGCTGTAGTTGTCGTACCGGTACATTATTTTTCTTCTGGAGCCTCTCTCGTGGTTTCACCAAGGCCGTAGACCCAGGGGAGTTTTTCCCAAGTAAAGCATCCTTGTATGATATTTCTAAGGAGTGCTTACTTTTTACAGGGCCTTTTTGGAGTTGTCCGGGTCCAGCAGGGTCTTGTTTCGCGGAGATTTTAATTTTCTCGGCGTTTTTCCCTGGTAGAGTCCGTTCGTGGGTTGAAGAATTCACTCCACGATCCTCCAATTTTCGCATTGAATCTGCTCCACTACTGCGGTCCTGAAGCGCTGCACGTGCGGTTTTCATTTTGTTACAATCGATGAATCGATGTCCCGGCTTGCCGCAGAAAGAACACTTAGCTTTGTTCTTCTTTGGTCTTGCCTTCGCGTCGATTCGATCGAGTTCCATCGGGTCGGCGTACGTGGGGGTAGCCAAGCGTCCTCCATGTCGTCTAGCTCGTCCATGAAGTCGTCGTGTTCCGATCGTGATTACGTCGAAACGTTCTGCTGCCGAGACAACGTCGTTGTAGCTGCTCCAATTTGCGGCCGCAACGTGTTGTCGTATTTCATTTTTCAGCCCCGCGATGAATGCTCTAATTTTTTCGCCTTCCGTGACGTCGGGGATGCGGTTGAACAACTCCTCCATTTGTTGCGTGTAGTTCGCGACGCTCCCGATTTGTCGATGACGATGTATTTTGTCGCGGGCGATAAACGCTGCATTTATCGGCTCGAAACGTTGTAGTAATCCTTCTCGGAACTGCTGCCACGTCGCTTCGCTTTGGTTTAATAATCCGCTTCCGCTTATCCAATCAATTACTGGTCCGCGCAGTTGTGTTGCTGCAAATTTAATTCGCGAACCGTCGTATGTCGGGGATGTCCAACCGACGGCTACGAAATATATTTCGATTTCCGCCAACCACCTCCGCACGTCAATCTCCCCTTCGAAGGTGTTGGGGGCTCGAATTTTTTTTGGCCTTGGGAAAATTTCGCGACTGCTGCGAAGTCACGATCGATTCTGTTTCTGTCGGGCGCCATGACGCGCGAATTCATCCGAAGTCGTTAGATCCGTCGCGCGTCGGTTTTGCTGCTTCTGCACCGCTCGATATAGGTCCGGACAATTCGCGATTGTCGTCGCTATATCGCCAACTCGACGCCAGAAAACCGATCTTTCGGACCTGTTCAAAAAACGCGCGAGGGGGGTCATTCAAAAAACGCGGAATCTGGTGCTTACCAGCGTCGGCGCCGAATTCTTCGCCCCCGGCGGTTTTTCGAAGCAGGGAATTTGCTGTCGCGCGCTTAGCTGAAACTCCGCGAGTGAAAACGGCTCTGAATACCAAGTGTCACAGGATCGAATTTCCACTCGAGAATGTTGCACTATAGGTGAGTACAAGGCGTATTTATACTCAGAAATACATAGAAACAAGCGATAATCCGAACCTTCGGGAACGCGCTCTTCTAGGTTAGATATCCACTAGTGCGCATAAGCACGCAAGCCCATTGGCACATTGGATTATGTTGGTGCTGTTGGTTTTTGCCGTATAATGTAATTGTCGGTGCCGAGAATACAAATAAGTGAAATAATCGAAAAGCTCTAGAAAATAGAATAGTAGTCCGATTGAGGTGAAATAAAGTGCAAATGAAAGAGGAAAATAAGAAGAATAAGATAGAGTAAAAATATGGAAATGAGAAATATGTCGAACGTCGACGTACTCTTACATTGGCGGTCTACCCGCTTGTCTTCTGTTCTCAGCTCCGGTTGTGAGGCTGAGATCTACGCAGGAGCCATGGCTGCACAGGAGTTACGCTGGCTCACCTACCTGCTGACCGACTTGGAGGAGCGGCCTAGTTCTCCTCCAGTTCTGTACGTAGACAACAAGGCCGCTATCGCCTTGTGTCAGGAGCACAGACTGGAGCACAGAACGAAGCACATCGCTCTACGTTACTTCCTTGCTCGAGAGTTGCAGCAGCGTGGCCAGCTTCGTCTTACTTACGTGGCCACCCGGGCTTACACAGCTGATATATTCTCCAAGGCACTTCCGCCTGGTAATTTTCAGCGTTTCTGTACTGCTTTAGGCCTTGTGCCTACGTTTGCTCACTTGCTCACTGCTTGACTTTGCTTGTACTGTGATCTATATATATTCCTGCATGCTTACACTTGCTAGTTTGTGATCACTGCACTGTTTGTTTTGCTTTATATACATCTGCATGTGAGCTGGCGTTGTGGCCATTTGCTGGTGCTCGGACTATGTAATGACTTCGTGATCCACCCTGAGCTTTCTTTGCTTTTCTGTGACTGCTTGTTCTCCCCCACTTTGCCTATGGGAGTGTGTCAGAACATGATGCTGTATTGTGTAGGCTGTAGTGGGGTAGCCTGTATGGGGTACAACCCAATTAGGGTTAGTACTTGTACCAAACTGTTTGCTAGTTCATCCACTCTTGCTGTTGATTCCAACAACTTGCGGCTTTTAGGTTTGCTCCTTCGTCTGCTGACCCGTCGCTGTTTCTGCGCACCGACACTTCGCTGCCGTCGTTCTACATCTTGGTCTACGTCGACGACTTGGTCTTTGCCATTGCTGACACTGACGCACTGACCCTTATGAAGTCGGAGCTGCAGAAGAGACACACTTGCACTGACCTGGGTGAGTTGCGCAGGTATCTTGGCTTGCAGATTACTCGAGACAGAGCACGACGCACCATCACCTTGGCTCCGTCACACACGGCTTCCCCACTACAGCCTACACAACACAATATTTTCATAGTTTATAGCTCAGGTCCGCCCATTGCTGATTCGTCACTCTCCTTCACACTTGAATCCGACGGGTCCCAGTGTTTCTTCTGTGGCCTCACCGCCATCTCGCTGCTTCCAGCACCAGTTGCAGTCGGTTTGGCCAACCCCACTTCTGGGCCAGTCGTCACTCGCAGTGCTACCACACTCCCATGTCTGGTTGTCCCCTCAGGTTCCCTCGGAGGTCCCCACGTGCCCTCATTCTTTAGGAACTTAGTGGGTGTTATATGTTTTCAAGTCCTTGGTGTCACCACCACGTTTCTTGGGCACGAGAGTACAAATCTTGCAAACTTCTTGTTACAATCTCTGATGATCATATCCAGTGCAAGTGGATGAGAATGGTGATGAAGGGGCTAGTTTGACAAAGTTTGAAGCCAATGAACAGCGCCATCTTCGTTTGGCTGTCGATGTTGACGTGGATCCTCGAAGTCTCTGCCGATTTCCAGAGAGGTAAGCCGATCTAATTGCCCTCAACTCATGTGGTGAAGGTGTTTATCATCCAGTCGATTCATGAGTTGTAATGTCTTAGGCATTTGTGCCCAAGTATTAGTGCAATCAAGAGTTGTTGGGAGCATCTCCTGGATGTGAAGTCACTAACGCAACGAATCCTCATTTGGTCTTTGCGATCTGCATGGCAAGCAGCATGACACTTGGCGGGGTGTCAGTAGGCGATTCCGCACAACTGGTAATTTTCAAATGTTGTAGCCTATAGTGAGGTTTGTCTTAGGGGGTACAAAACTTAGGGTTAGCTATATGTACCCCCGTCACGTCGCCTTCCCCCCCCCCCCTCGTCGCGTCCCTTTCCCCCCGTCGCGTCGCCTTCCCCCTGTCCCGTCGCGCCCCCCCCTTTCCCCCCGTCGCGTCGCCCTCCCCCTGTCCCGTCGCGCCCGCCCCTTCCCCCCGTCGCGTCGCCCTCCCCCTGTCCCGTCGCACCCGCCCCTTTCCCCCCGTCGCGTCGCCCTCCCCCTGTCCCGTCGCTCCCGCCCTCTCCCCCGTCGCGTCGCCCGTCCCCGCAGCGCCCGCCACTGTCGCTCGCGACCGCGCTCGTCGCCGCCGCGCCTGCCGCCGTCGCCCGCCCCCTGCGCGCCTCGCCGCGGCCCCGCCGTCGTCGCCCGCCGCTGCGCGCGTCGCCGCTGCGCCCCCTGCCGTCGCCCGCTGCGCGCGCTGCTGGCCCCTGCTGCCGAGCGCGCTGCCATCGCCCGCCGCTGCGCCCGTTCCCGTTCCCCGCTGCTTAGTCCCCTGTTACCTCCCGCTGTCACGCCCGCTGTGGCGTCCGCTCCTCCCCTGTCCCAGAGTACCGCCGAACCCTAATTTGCCTCTCACCTACTGCTGTCCCCTCCCTCTCCGTTCGCGTTCGTTTTCACTATGGCGACTCAGCGTCTCCTCTCCTTCCGTCTGGCTTCTTCGTGCTCGTTGTCTGTTAGAGAGTCAGGTCCAGGCAGGCGAGACCCTCTGGGCGCACGCTACTGGTGCCCTACCTGCGCCCCCCGACCCTACGCCTTTAGGACCTGCCCCTGACGACGCCGCTAGAGCCCGCTTTGCCACTCAGCGAGCTGACCAGACGGCTTGGACGTCGCGTGACGCTGCGGCCTGCATCGCGCTCAGCAGCCTCCTCC